GAAGTTGCAAACAAAAATTTAAAACCAAAGGCATCAATAGGAGAAAAGGATGCATGGAGCACTCACCTGAAGATGTTTGCACAAATGACCTTTGACAGGAGTTTTTATACGTGTATAACTGTTTTACAGATAAAAGTAAAATGTAATAATCAGCATCATAGCAATGAAGTTTGATCATGGAAGGATTACCAAACTACACATTTTTCATCCATTTTAACGTAGAGAAATAGACAACAAAAAAGTAGATAAGATAGGAAACACACTTCAAACTTAACAAATTTATTCACTGAAACCAGGACACATGAACAAAATGCTATTTTGATTGTTGAACTCAACACTTGACAATATAGAAGCAGCTGGCGTAACTGATGAAAAACACACCCAAAAAAAAAATCATGTTCCAATATTTCAGCGAAAAACATAAATGTTTCTTCAATGAGAGATTCAGAAGTTCAGAATATATGGGATGAGAAAGATCACATTAATAGGCATCAACGTTTAACCTATGATATCTTCATATGAAGCAACTCAGCCTCTCCCGATCAGAATCGATTGAAAATTAACAGATATCCCATAAAGTTTCTAGCATTAACATTTCTACTTTTAAGTAAATCCTGATAATACGTTTCAAATCAAATGTCCCAGGAATACATATCTCCAACATAAAAGGTTATAAATAAACGAATAAAATTCAAAAACAAATGTAGTAAGAAAATTATAGCAACATTAAAGCTACAAGCAATAAATATCAAGGCATACCTTATCGGACAATTGAGAGAAATTCTTGATGGCCCCTCAATTAAATCAGGATCTAATGATTAAAAGAAGACAATTAAACAAACTATACCATTGTAAAAAGCCTAATGCTTTGCAAATTCCTGATACTACAAGATATAATCAAGTGTCTTTTGACGTTTCCTATGGAGAATACCTGAATCTGACGGAGACACAGTGAACTGCGAATAATCTTTCAGTACTGGAGTGTCAGGTGATGGTGTGATACTCATAAAGGCAACCACTATGGTATAATGGCCTAAAAATAGTTCAATGTGTCAGAGCTGGATGAATATAGTACAAGAAAACTACAATAAATAGAACGTAACTCACCATTGAATTGGCCCACAGCTTGCAGAAGATTTGATCCAAACTTGAGCATTCCAGTCACAACTGAAGGCAACTGGGGTCCAGTATCCTGTTAAAGAAAATGGAAGGCACAGGGTGTTACGAAATGAATACTATGTTACAATCCAAATTCTGTCAAATTTAGTTATCCAGTAAGCGGAGCCACACAAACCATTGTAACATTGATCCTTTTATCTACTCCCTTTCCATTTAGCAGAAAGCTACAGAATTGAAAAAAAAAAATGTTGTTAGAATAAATAGGAAACACCTCTAACTAAACTAAAAGGTTGAGAGGAAAATCAGCCATACTTCACTTGTGGTGGACTTATAATACATGCAGATGTCTCTATATTATCTGTTTGTGCTACAAGTAATCGCTTGAGGCAAACAGAAAGTGTGAGGTCCAGAATAAGTTCTACAAATCATAATTCCAATTTCATGTATAAAAGGAAAACAGTATAACGTAAACAATTAGAACAAAAAGAGAAACCACCACGAGTTTATAACCAAATAATAAAGTTATGATGACACAAATTATATGTGTAGTTATTCTCTAATAAGATAAATATGGACATACTTCTTTGTTGTTAGATAGACATGGACAGCTAGGATGCACAGAGGATAAGAACTCAGCCATCCATATCAAATCTAACAACTGCTAAAGACCTAAATTAAGGACTTGCACCCTAAATTAAGATGCATCTCTCACTACCATTTGAAATGAACAATAAGCATCTAGAAGGAGATATAAGCCTTCCACTGGACCAGATATGACCATTCGGTCAGCCTTCATGAATGATGTGTTTGCTTGTGTTAGGATTTTGGCTTGTCAAATTAGTGTCCTATTTTGTTTAGGATTGTATGCACCGATTCTTCTCCAAAAAGGACTAGGAAAGAATCAAAGTTTCCTTGTACAATTAGATTAGGAATCCAAGAAGTCTAATTTGGAAATGGAAAAAAGTGTACTTTCCTATTCCATATAAAATAGGAAACTTAATCAGAAAATAGGCGTGTAAACCACACCCTATACTTATAAATAGGGTGTGGCAAGGCTAGGGAATGTGTGAGAAAAGCCAGAGACCGCTGAGAGGGATAAAGGGTGAATAGTTCTAGGATTTTACAAAAGTACTATAACTCTATTATTAATCAAAGAAGTCGTGGTTTTCTACCCAGGGAAATCACAAGTGGATGTAGGCAAAAGTTCTAACGAACCAGCATAAATCTTGTGTGTTTCGAGTTATTCTCTAATTTGCTGAGTTTAGTCTATTGCCGGATACATCAAAGAGCAAGATCCAGAGGGAGTCAACATTATAATAACTTGTGTATGATGTATGACATTCATGCATACATGTTTAAATAAACTACAAGACTCAAGAACTTACAACCACTCCAACATTCAAACAAAAATGCACCTAACTTTATAAGATGCTTACAATTTTTTCTTGAGGAGAATAATGTGTACTCTTCGAAATATGGAAATCAAGCACATGCGCCCCATATCCAGACTACAACATGATAAGACATACGTCAAAACGAACCCAAAAAAAGGGATAGGAAAAAAAGTTGAAAAAGGGAATAAAGAGCCACCTTGACTTCTAGAGAGGCAAGTATCTGGCCCATCTTCATCATTGGATAAAACCTACACCACACACAAAAGGAGATCTTTCTAAATCATTTGCAACCTCAGCAAAAGACACCCGTTGATACTTGATACCAAAAGCATGATTATTAGGATGAGCAAAGAAAGAATATTTTGAACCTTAGAAGCTAAAGAAGTCATTGTAATAAAAAATTTCTACCCATTTCTAGTTAAACTCTAAATTCTAAATTCTAATATGAACATGGTGCAGGATCATTAGGCTAACATGATATCCTTTAAAAGGAAACATCAAATGAAATCTATATTATACGCGTGTATACACATGTATGTTGTAACAAAATGTACAAAATTAAAGCACGATACAAGTTCCCACCTTTCCATAATTGTGTCTATAACAGAAAGAGAACAGCTAGCTCCAGTTTTAACATCCCCCAAGCTGCAGAAGCTACTCCCTATCTATAATTGCACAAGAAGATCATCAGCAACATCAACCTAAGACAGATTTGAGCAATAATAAACAAATTAACAGCATACCTCGTTAGCTAGAAAAAAGAGCTCTTCAGTCTCCTTATCCGAAAACCATCCGGTCCTACAAGCATTCTGCCAAGTAAAATACAAAGTCAGCTCGACACTCATGATTACGTTCAAAGTTGGATACAAAACAAAAACCAAACAAAGCATCAAGCAAAAAGGGGATAACAAAAACATGAACATGGGCAAGCAGGATATGCTACTTGGATAAATGGTTAGCATCCATTTTCGCATTTATTACATAAAATGAACCACATTCGGGTTTATACCTTAACAGAAATCATCAGCACCATGATAGCAGCTTCCAAAACCTTATCACTCTTGCGTTGGCATATCTACACAAAACAAGAGTTAAAGTACAAATCTTTCCCTCAAAATAAAGGGGAAACAAACTGAAACCGGGAATTCACGAACTAGAAGAAGAAAACTTCAGTACCTGCTTCAACAACCCAGGTAAATCTTGAGCAATCGCCGGAACCTCATTGTTTGCAACGGCATAGTCAATGCCTCTGCATTTTGCCAAAGCAATTTCATAAAAAGGAAGGAAAATTGAGGAATTCAATCACTATGTATGTTTGAATGAAGAAAATAAACTTGAAATTTGGGGAAAAGTCAGAATTTATAAATTGATATGCACCAATTCCTTTGTTTGTATTCATAAACATAAAAATTTAGAATTTATGCGTGGAAAAAAAACTTGAAATTTGAAAAGTTTAAATTTCATCTAAATACATGTCATTTCCTAATTTTTATAATTGAGAATCTAAAAATAACAAATTACGTATTCAATTCCACTGTCCTTTTAACTTAACCAAAAAAATTCATAAATTCTAGAAAATAAAATCTCATCATTTCAAATACCATCATTTTAAAATTCCTTAATCTTAAATTTCTTCCTCCAAAGATAAGGGATTTAAGAAAAATGGGGGAAGGGTTATTACCTGGAAAGGGAAAGGCAGAGATTGAAGAACTCCATGGCCTCGCCGCGATAGCCAGATTTGACGTGAGCTGCCAAGCGCTCAGCGACGGCGGCAACTCGGTAGGAGTTAACGAGGGAAGCGGAGAGTTGCTGCTGCCCAACGCCTTTCAGACTGACTAAGTTGCCGACCGCCTGCGGTGTTAGCGTTGTTCCACTCATTAGCTCGCACAGACACACCCACCACACCCACACCTACACGCGCCCCTCTCTCTCTCTCTCTCTTCCTTTCTCTTTCCTCTTTCTCTCTCCCTCTCTCTCTAGGCCTTTCAAATGTTACAAAAATTGCAGGAGAGATTGGACAAAGGGTTCTAGAAAGCTGTACTCATAATTTGCAACTGTGCAGGCATTTTACAACAAAAAATAAATAAAGTCTAGGTAATTTTTATTTTTTTATTTTTGGTAAACTGAGGGGTAGATCACCCCACAAACTAGCGAAGAGTTATTACAAATTAGGGCTGGGCACGGGCCGGGCAGGGCCTAATTTTGAAGGGACCGGACCGGACCTAGGTTCAAAGGGAACAGGGTGGGCTAGGCCGGGGATTACATTTTTTAATATTAGAACCGGACATTACCCGGCCCAGTTGAAACGGGTAGGTTCTGGCCGGGTCCACGGGTCCCTTTTTTTTTTTTTTTTTTTGGTTGTTTGAAAAAAAAAATAAAAATTGTACAGAATACAGTTTGCAATCTGCACAAAACTGTACAGATTGCAAACTGCACAGATTTGCACAGATTGCAACTGCAGAAAGTCACATACTGCATTTACGCATATTTTGCACAAATTCACCATTATTCACATCCAATCTAAATACAAAGTCCAACATCCAAGTTCATAGATTAACAATACATTCAAAATAATAATATTACATCTTCCAACATCTAAAAATCAAATCAACATACAAAATATTCGAAAATCCAAGTTCCAACAACAATCTTCATTGAATCTGTAGACAAAAATAGAATATAAACATGACATTTTTAACGTCCAACATCATATTATCTATCCTCATTCAAATTGAATTATTGAAATTTAAAGTTTATTCATTTGAGTTTAAAATATTACCGCAATTCCTTTTCCTTTATTCGTTTGAGTTGTTTCAATTTCAGGAACACTTGATGAGATTGTTGAACTTGTAGAGATAGTATTTGCTCTTTTTCTTTTATATTCTAAAACAAAAAACAACCGTTAATTGTAAACCAATTAATATAAAGTTATAAACCAAACTATAAAAAACAAGATAATATTGCATGCATTTCTTCATTCCATTGAATGACAAATTCTTAGGACCAAAAGTTGGCTAAAAAACAAAATCGTGTGTTATCCATATCACAGCCCATTCTCATAGCTAAGAAAAATGCACGCTTTTTCGAAATTTACTGAAGGGGGAATTCATAAACTTTGCACACAATTGAAAACCATTAGAGGAATCAAAAGAAGAAAGGAAATATTGCCTGCAGATTCAGGCTAGCCAAAGCATAACGTGAAACCCTCTATAGTTCTTTATGTACTGAGCACAAATCATAAATATAAAAATTTGATCATGAAAGCGCAGAGGGAAAGAGCTTACCACATTCTGAACAGATTTCACAATAGATGTTGAAGACTCGGAGCTTTCCCCAGTAGCCCCTTCACCACAACAGCAACACGATTCTGTCTCTCTGAAAAGTCAGAAAATTATACACCTAAGTTAGGAGAGAATAGTGCAACCAAGGCATTGAAATGTGCACTCAAATTGCATTTCATATGACACTTCAAACACATAACCATCAACCTCTAAAACCCTTGATTACTTAGAGAACGTTTGATAACCATTTCGTGTTTTAGTTCTCAATTTTTGTTAAAGTAGATGAAAGGATGAATGAATCAAGAATAAGAAAATCAAACAAAAAATAACCATCCAAACCAAGAACTCACCAGTAAGCAAGCAGGATATGATTCAAAATCTTCCAATTTCCAAACTTTCTCAGTAATAAGTGGCTCCGGAATCTGAAACCAATTCCCAAACAATCAAGAAAATACATATAATATTCTTGGAAATGCAACAATGCAAGAAAATCTGAAAATGCAATCAAAATTCAAAAGTGTCTAAAACAAAACCCATAAATTAAATGTCTAAAACAACCTCTTTAAAGTTTAAACCCAGAAGAAGCTATTAAATACTCTTAACTCTTAAGTTCTTAACTATCGGCTTTGACTTACATGCATTAAGATTGCAGCTTCAATTACCAATTTTAGTTCAAAAATTGTAACAATTCGAAAATTTTCTGCAAATTTAAATACCAAAGTATTTAACCAAACAACTTAAAATCTACAAACAACTTAAATTTCTGCAAATTTAACCAAACAACTTAAAATCTACAATCTATAAGCAGATCCATAAAATTCAAAACCAATAAACAAGTTTCTGCTAGTAATCAAATCGCAGCAGTCCATATAATCAATCGAAAAGCTTATGCAATCATAGCCCCAAAAACCCTAAATTCCCAAATCAGAAACCCTAATTCATAAATTACCTAGGAATTTGCAGGATGATGGTAGTGTTCTCGACGGCGAGGTTGGTGTCGACCGTGTGGTGGTGGTCGGAACTCGCGATTGGGGAGGATTGATGTAATGTCGACAGACACAGTCGAGGTCGACAGTCACTGACTCACTATGAGTCTCAAGGAGTCGAGTCGAGTCGAGTCAGTAGGGGTGGAGTGGAGAATCGATGGAAAAAGATGGGAGCGCGAGCGATCGAGGTCTGACTCTGAGACGAGAGAGTAGAGAGGAGAGGAGATTTGGGGAGTGGGGGAAGGGAACTGTCGAGGTCTGTCTGACTGTCTGAGACTGAGAGTCTGATCTGAGAGACTCTTGATCTTGAGTGCGATCGTGGTTTTAATCAACGGATCAGATTAAATCTTAAATTTTGGAAGGTGGAAACGGTTCGGGTCGGGGACCCGTTTCCTCAGTAATTACGACCTGTCCCGCCCCGCAAATAACATGGATCCGCCCCGCCCCACCCCGTTTCAGATTTTTAAAAATAGGACCCGCCCCGATCCACTTGGACCCGCCCCTAACCGCGGGTCCAGGACCCGTTTGCCCAGCCCTATTACAAATAATTCAAGTCCTAGGACCTCATTATATCATCAAATAATTGAGCTCCAATCTAATTAGGAGGATTTTCAAAATAATTGTGTTAAGATTCATATTATAGCTTCAATTGGCAATGCTCTTAGCCATCATATTCTTCTCCTGATATATATGCATTAACTCACATTCCGTTATGCGTGTTATAAATTGTCTACACTGATGAATGATGTTGGCATGAGAATGAAAGCTGGTATCAATCATATTATTGATTAACCACAAGAGCCAAATCCATCTCCACATATAATCTTGAAATATTCTTGTCAATTCTAAGTTTCAATCCAAAATATAGCCCCCAAATTTCAGCATCAACCACCTGACCTTTGCCCGAGTTGACAGAGAATCCATTAAGCCGCCAATGTTGACTCTAAGAACTCCTGTTGCACCTATATTTCCAGTAGCATTGATCCGAGAACAGTCCACATTAAGCTTCACCTTCTTTCCGGTACGTATTTTTTTTCTTTAACGAAGACAATGTATTAAGAAACTCAATCCAAGTTCCAACACATCTTGCGCGCATGGACGGGGCCAATGAAGGCTCACTGGGGCAGATGCCTCCACTCAAGTAATTTGTTTGTTTAGTTACAAACTACAATTATATAATATATACGGGTTATCTTTGAAGAAAATATATGTATCTAATATCTAACATACATTCATTCTACTTATACACCATATCAAATATTATATGAGCGATAGTACTTTGTTCTATCATTCAAACAGAAAAAACCATTTCCCGCCTATCATATACTTACGTTTTTCTCATCACTTTGTCACTTTCCACTACTATATTAAAATTTTTGTGACATTGGAATTGTAATACATCGTCATTTGAAACAATCTTTAATATCATATTGCGTATAACCATACTATAATAAGGTTTTTTTACTTGTTTTCGGTTGCCCCCATGAGAAAAAATTTCTGGCTCCGTCCCTGTTGTGCGAGGAGATCCTGAACAAGAGCAAGTGTTTCCTTAATTCAAACTATGTCGTTTCCAATTGACAAAGCAAACTTAGTTAACCTATGGACAACCCCATCGCAACTCCAAGGACATACAAGAATAATTTAGACAGGAATGACTGTATCACATCGTCCGCAATCAAACCCATGACCGTGAAGTTCTTTCTAGCTCCATCGCCATTGATCTTTACCCATCATTCCCTAGGAGCAGTCCACCGTAGCTACATCTACTGTCTGGACGCTGTCGGCCTGAAATTGGTCGACTAGAAATCTTGAAACCAAGCAATGGCTCGCTGAACAACTTCCACAGGGTACCCTTCCACACTCTTGAGTTTCTTGCTTGCCAAACAGCCAATCGAATCATACAAAATAAATCAAAGTCAAAAGCATGTTGTTCCACCAGAGTTATTAACCATTCCTTCGTAGGGATACTGTGATTGATCACCGAACGCAAGCCAAAATGTAATGGGCCATTCCCAATTTTACGATTTTTATAAGGGTTAATTACACTAACACCCTCTGAGGTTTATCATGTTTTCACAAAATCCCCACACATTTGAAACATAACACTAACATCCCTTGAGGTTCTAATTCACTTTCACATAACCCCTTTAGGGCTAACATCACCTTAAAATAATTTCTTAAAGATAATTTTGCCCTAATTATTAATTACTTTATGAAAAATCCTTTATAAATAAATAGAATAAAAATTAAAATTAAAATCTTACATTAAACAATAAAAGGAAATAAAAGAAAATTGAAGAAATCCTGTTACCTTCTTCCTCTACGCTGTTAATTCGTATCTCAATCCTTTTTTCTTAATTGGAAAAACCCTAGCAGAACAAATCTTTCTCCTGTTAAATCCTTCGGGAGTTTCAGAGTATGAATGTGGTCGGGTAATTTCCTCCAAGAAGCCAAATCAGGTACTCTTCTCCATGTTTGAAATCAAGGCTTTCTTCCATATCGTTTTCTCGTCGAAATTGGTTTCAGTTTGGGTGAACAAGGAATGAAGGAGGTTGCCGAAGAGATTGAGGTGCCGATTTGAGGACAAGAACAAAAAGAAAAAAAAAATTAAACGAAAGATCCAAAGATGCATAGGTGGCTTTCTATTTTCATTTTTTTTTTAATGGTTAATGTATGTTTTTGAAGTCCAACAAAAAAAATCTATTTTCTTTATATTGGTTATTATTATATGTATTTTTAAAAAAACCTTTTTTATTTTTTAAAGTAATTAATAATGGGGCAAATTTGTCTTTAAGAAATTATTTTAAACTGATGTCAGCCCTAAAGGGGTTTGTGAAAGTGAATTAGAACCTCAAGGGGTGTTAGTGTTATGTTTCAAACATGAGGGTTGTGAAAACACGATAAACCTCAGGGGGTGTTAGTGTAATTAATCCATTTTTATAATTTAAAAGCGTGAATTTACAAAAATGCCCTTCGAGGCGAAATCATTGACCTTTGTTGACTCTTGTATTGTGAGACGTATAACCCAATCTGTTAGCGTATCCTTGTAGTTCTTGCCACTAGGAACGCGTGGACACAAGAGAAATTAATTTTGAAGCTAGAACGAAGATTTTACGAAATTTGAAACATCAAGGCATTTTGGTAATTCTCTAATTTGAGAGATATTTTTCCCTTTTTTTTTTTCTTTCCCTTGTTTGGTGAGCCAGTGGGGCCTACCCTTGCCTTGTTGTCTCCTAGCTCTCTCTCTTTTTCCCTTTTCTTCTCTTTCTCGTAACCCTTTCACTCTCTTTTCTCTCATCTCCCTATCTCTCTATGAACCACCCTCCCCGAGGGCACAACACAAACAAACAACGAACAACAACAACAATAGTACCACCTCCATCACCATGAATCTAGAAACAATGGAGAACACCCCCCCCCCCAAACCCCTTCCTCCACCACTGCACAATGTTGTTCAACACACAACCCTTTCTTTGGTGAGTTTTCGCCGTTTTAGATGAAGGTAAGTCCCTAGAACCTTGTGGATCGTGCTCTAGTATTATATTAGGGTAGTTTTAGGCATTAATCATGTGTGGATGCAAGGGAAAACTCGAAGGAATGTACTGTACACTTTATGGAAAAACCTAAACTATGGCCGTTTAGCCACTTTCTAATCACTTTTTCGGCAAACTCTGACCTCCGTTAATCTCAAAAGGGTATGAATCTCTTTTCCACATTTCTAGCTTTACATAGGATCTTAAATCACTTGATTTGGAGTTGTATCGAGCTCGGAATGAGCTCTGGAAATTGGAAGAAAATCTGGAGATTTTCTAGAAATTGGGGAAGGCGAGTACAACGTACTTGCGGGTGCATAGGGTTGCGTGTGGTGCTGCAGTGCCTAGCACGTGGAGCACACGCGCTTCCACCGGAGGTGCTGTGCTTCACCACCATCCACGACGGCAATCATGGCGGCACCGGCAACTTTTCGACGACCCAAATCAGTGTGTGGCAATGCGTGTTGTAGCGCATGGCCTTTTGACAGCATTCCCGTAGTGGCGCGTGCAGCGGCGTGTGGGGGAACCCGAGGTCCCTCCTTAGGTTTTTCGACGTCTCGAATCCGAATTTGACGTCCGTTTTCCCAAATTCAATCGTCTTAGTAAAGTTTTACTAATTAGTCCTTTTATGTGCTTAGGTGCAGCTGTTGGTGGCGATTTCGTCTTTTCTTGCCTAAACGGCTCTTTGGCGACGGAGTATCAGTGAGTGGTCCCCTTTTTAAATTGCATGATTTTGATTAAATGCTAGGCTTGCATTCATGAAAAGCATGATTTCATGATTTTACATTTCATGATTTATTTATGATTTATTGAATTTACGTTTACAAAAGATTTACGAAGCCTGGCTTTTTACGCTTTACGGTACATGATGGATTTATTATGATTTCGGATGATAAGGTTTTGGTATTCTACACTTGGTATGAGATTTTGGTTACGTTTTTTGGTGCTTATCTAGTGGGTAATCATACAGCACATACACGCAACCTGAGTATGTATACATTTATGGCCATAGGACACAGTTGAGGAGCAGTGAGATATTTATGACATACTCCCAGCTTCACTAGCGAAACCAATGTCAGACAGCTTCACTAGCCACAGCTAGTGTCAGTGTGTTATGTTATATTTCTTCTCTAGCGTAACCCAGAGTCATACGGCTTCACCTTCGGGTGATGGAACCTACCATGTTTCTTCACTAACGTAACCCAGTGTCGTACAGCTTCACCCTTGGGAGATGGATATGCCTTCGAGCGACTATGATACCCTTAGTTGAGTACTTTATTATTTTGGGTTTACGAAGGTTTTATGGATTTGCCTTCGGGCGACTATGTTATCATTAGTGAGCACTATTTTATACATACACGTTTAGATGTTTTCATCGCACGTTAGGGTTTTTAGAAAAACCTAGTATGTAGTATTATATATATGTGTGCTTTCAAAACAGGGGGTTAATATGTTCAAAAGAAAATTTGTTTTACTTAGTATTATTATTATAAACTTTGGTCCACTCACCCTTTTGTTTTGCACCCCCTTCAGGACTTAGAATCAAGGCGTACGATCCGGGTGTTGAGGCATTCCCGTATCGGTACCTTCGAGTCCTCTCGGTGTAGGACCCCCTTTCTTTGTAATCTCATT